GAGAGGCTTCACCAGAGACAGAGTGGGGAGCAGAACAGGCAGATCCACGAAGTACACTGCTAAGGGAAGCAGCGGGCGGGTCAAGAGAGGTCACCTCCGGAGCAGGCGGGAATCGAACTCATGCCGAAGTGGCGTTAGCTTCTTAGTACTGTGCTTTAACCCGCTGCGCCACCAGGGAGGGCCATAATTTTGAGAGGTATTTAACTTGACTAAACTTTAATTGTATAACTTGTGGTAGATAGCTGCTAAAATTTCTGTGTAGATTTTTTAGCCTTAGTTGGGACATTTTAGCTCTAATCTTAGTTTGTATATTTTGGGGACTACTCTAAAGATTAGGGCACAATTTGATGAACCACAATTTGTAGTTCTTTGGGTTTCTTACCTTTCTGGTTGCTCTGATCTCCCCAAAGTTTTTCTTCTGATTCTTCAAGCTCTTAAGACGAGAGGTTTTTCATCTGCATTTTTATTGCCCAGTGTGGCTCCAACTGGGGTCTGTCTTTCCACAAAGAAATTATAATAAAAAGCAGGTTGTGAGACCCCTCACAAATATTTTTTGAAAGTGAATTTGTAAGTCTAAATCTAAGATAAAATAATCATTAATCTATATGCTAAGATTTTCCCATTAATAAAAATATATAAAAGTTTACAAACAGTTCCCTTTTTTAAAAGTTTTCTACTAGTCTTTCAGAGTACTAGTCATTTAAAGTAGTAAGTCATAGTTAGCTTTAACAAGTTTTTTTATTTTTGTTGCAGCTTCTCCTCTTAAAAGTAATGATGAAGGCTCATTGGACATATATGCTGGATTGGACAATGGTGTTTCTGGTATGTACATTCTATAATGATAGTTTCAATAAACACTTGTTCAAAGTGTTTATTGCCCATTTACTTATTCTTTGACATGATTCCATTCAGATAATTATTTTTCTACACAAAATTTCATTAATAAGCAAATTGCACTTGAGTTTGTTATTTATCTAGATCTCAGGTTTAATTGGATTTTGTGCAAAAATACTTTATGCCATTAAAATGGTGATGCGGTGTGGAGTGTATTAGCTACTCATATTGTGAACAGACTATATTATAATAGGTTTTGAAAAGGGTGGGACATATTCCCAAATGTATAAGGCAGAGTCTTGTGACTTAATCCAAATTAAACAAATATGTGATTTGTTTAATCAGATTTGTTTTTAAACAAATACATGATTCTTACCATGGATTTGTTGACACAAGCATTTTTAGGTAAATTGGTTTTCTAACTCTGATTTCTGAAATCAATATAGCTTTGGATGAAATGTAGGAATTAGAGAAATGTTTTGCCTTTTGAGTTGAGATAGATACAACACCAAAAAGATTAACATATTTTTCTATTTTTTTCCAGCTCTCTTGAGATTTAATTGACATATGTAACATTTTTGTGAGTTTAAAATAGACAGTATGGGCCCTCCCTGGTGGCGCAGCGGGTTAAATCACTGCATTAAAATATACAGTATGTTGATTTGATACACAGATTTCAAAATAATTGGCATCACTTTTTTTTTTTAAAGATTTATTTATTCATACAGAACTGGGGTACAGGCCAGAGATGTGGAGGGTGGGAGGATTCACCAGGGACAAAGTGGGGAGCTGAACAGGCAGATGGAGGAAGTACGCTGCTGAAGGGAGCAACGGGAGGGTCAGGAGAGGTCTGCTGTGCCATGTGGTTACCTCCAGGGCAGGCAGGGATCAAACCCATGCAGAAGTGGCTTAAGCTTCTTAGTGCAATGCTTTAACCCGCTGCGCTACCAGGAAGGGCTGGCATCACTTTTCAATGGCATTTAAGAACGCTAAGAAGGTCTATTTTTTTTTTAAGATTTATTTATTTATGCACACAAGAACTGGGGGTGTGGGGGGTAAGAGGATTCACAGAGTGGGGAGCAGAACAGACAGATTGCCAAAGTACACTGCTGAGGGGAACAGCCACTGAGGCAGAGAGGTCTGCTGCTGCGCCATGTGGGTACCTTCCTGCCTGGGGATTGAACTCATGCTGTAGTGGCTGTGGCTAGCTTTGTAGTGCTGCACTTTAACCTGTTGTGCCACCAGGGAGGGCCCAAGAAGATCTATTTTCTTAGCAACCTTCTTCTGTATAACACAGTATAATTAACTGTATTTTGCCAACTTAAAAATCAGGCAAAAGGTCCTCCCTGGTGGCAGAAGGAGCTAAAATAAAGCTCAGCACTATGAAGCTATCGATCATCATGCTGTATATTAGATAAAAGAATACAGAACTTACTAATCTTATAGCTTGAAGTTTGTTCTATTGGATCAATCTCTTTTCCCCTACTCCCACCCTCATGTGACCACCATTCTAGTCTGTGGTTCTATACATTCAGCTTTTATTAGAGTCTACATATAAGTGATTTCATATAATATTTGGTTTGTTTCACTTAGTACAATGTCCTCAAGGCCATCCATGTTTTTGTAAATGTCAAGATGTCCTTTTTTATGGCTGAATTACATTCCTCTGTATGTATATATGTTTCACATATTCTCTGTTCCCTATTCCATGTTGTTACTATGTCTTGGCTATTGTAAATAATGCTGCAGTGAATGTGGCAGTACAGGTAACTCTTGGAGATCCTCTTTTCATTTTCTTTGCATGGATACCCAAGAAGTGGGATTACAGAATCATATGGTAGTTTAATTTTCAAATTTATGAATAACTTTCATACTAGTTCATAGTAGCTGCACCAGTTTCTTTTCTTTTC